TGAAAGTTATCCCATAGAAAACATTAGCTATTATGATATACAAAACCGCCTCTAGCAATTAAGAAGCCACAATATAACATCAATTCACTAATATAGATAAATGATACAATCAGCTATATACTTTTAGTAATTGCATAATATCTCAAATGCATTATCTGTTAATGTTGATCTCTCTGTAATGCCCAAAGAAACAAAAAAAAAAATACTTAAAGAATTACCTCTTCCAGTGCCCATACCCGATCCTTCTGTTAGGTTGGGTCCACTTTCTCCTCTGACTATGTAGACAAGGGACTATGATGACTTGAGACGACGGAACCATGAGTTCTTGATCGGGTCCATCATCCATTCCCCCACCATCTGCTTTAACGTACAAGTTGTTAAAATTCCTAATTTTAAATATAAAATTTTCAAATACTAAACTCATGCTACTACTATACACCTGATATCCCATATCTACGGATACAATATATTCATTGACGACTAGCCTTAATCACAACTTTTCTCTCGTGATCGGAAGGGGTAATTAATTATATGGGTTTGTGCCTATAGGAAATCAGAACTCATATCATAAAGTCCTTGCAAAATGAGGAGAAAATCTCTAGGTAATGCCTTATCTACGAACCCAATATGACTTCTGAAAATTTACACTGGAACATAATCCGTTAAAGCTCTCTCGAAAGCAGGGGAGGCCGGGGCGTGAATTTTCGGTGCCCACAATTAAATTAATTTTGCATAATTTTTTTAATAAAAATTTCATTATTAATGTTAATTATTTTAATGCATCTTTTATTTTGTATTTATATGCATAAATTATTAATTATTTAATCTATATTTAACCTTCTTGCTTTCAATAATAGCATTATAATTAATATCTTTAATATAATTATTTTTTGTTATATTTTTATAATTTAAACACATATTACTTATAATATTCTTATTTATGTCCCACATTATAATATTGTGGAAACAAATGGCATAATCTTAATTGTGTAAAGTTATTCAAATAGCCTGATGCAGACATTCAATTTATGGACATAAAACAAGTTGTTTCAGAGAATTGTATTTTCAAAGGCAAACCTAATGGCATCTTATATAAGGAACAACAAATAAAACAATCCATCTGTGTTAATATAGGCCGGTTTAGCAAAAAAAAAATCCAAATTCTCATTGAGAAAGTCTGTGAAATATATTATAAAAGGGACTAAATAAAAGGTAAAATTGTATTTTTTTTCTTGCGGTTTGATTAGAAGTATTTAGAATTTAGGGATATTATCATTCAAGATATTATTTTTTATGTTTAGTTGGAATTAATAAAAATAAAAAAAATTAGTTCAAAATAATTAAAATATCTAGGGCAACAGAGAGGATAGAGGTGGATGAGACGGTGGTTCTGCACGAGCTTTGACGGTGCGAACTGTGGTAGGCATAATGGTGTAGGGCTTCCCGATCGTGATGATGCGTGTCTTCTCTTGATAGTGGCTTCTTAGGGCAGTCTTGTAGGGATTCGTGTGTGATTCAATGGAGGCAAGGGCTTCACATACATGCAAGGGAGTTGGCACGAGCTTAGGCGGGGCTAGCGCTTGAGAAGGGGTGATATTACCTTGTATAGCGCAATATTTTTTTATATTCATTCAATTTGAGCAAGTTTCAAATACATAAACAGTGAATTAAATAATGTATTCTCTTTTTTTTTTCAAAAAAAAAAATCTTTTTTTTTTTAATTTAATTTACTATCAATTAAACACCTAAAACCTTAGAACTCTTGCATTCGAAACGCAAGCCACTTAAAATCCATCTAACTAATGGACCCTTTATGAATCCCGCAGTTCATCTTGGTCTGTTGGTTGGGTATTTGATTATCAATCAAGAGGTCTTGGATTCAAAACTTACGTATGTGAAGCGTGTGTGAGTATGACTTAGTAGCTCAAATGTACCAAAAAATAATTGTGCATATCCTTTGAAAAAAATTAATGGAAAGCTACTTAAATGCACTTTGTAGTGCTCTTCTATTTATTGAAAGGTGTTTAAAGCAATTTGGCTATTTTGATAGTTTAATTTTTAGTAAATTAATTTTTTTTTTTTTTCAAAATTTATAAATCCAATTGAGGAAAATTTTGTACTAAAAAGCTGTTTTAAGAAACATGAAGTAAACTTTTCTTGTTTGGGATGACTTTCTTACTGCTTCTTAAAGCAACTTTCTAGTACAACAAATATAAATCTTTATACTAAAAAATTGTTTTAAGAAACAGTAAAATAACCATCTCAAATGAAGCCTTAATCCTATACTCCCTTACAATGTTGGTCCATAAATATGGTAATAATCATTATATCAAGAATTATATGCACTGATGAATTAAAGCTAACTAAATTTGAAAATTATACCCACCGCTGTTTGTCCGGGTGGTGAATAGTCGGCTGGGCAAAGCTCAGGTCCTTGGTTCGAATCCCTTGGCAAGCAGTGAAAGCCTTAAGTGTTGGCCCGTGTAAATTGATATGGGTTGCATGCTAGGTCGGCCGGGGTTTTCACTGTCCTAAGGACAACGCTTCCTCGTCACAAAAAAAAAAATGAAAATTATAGCATTAATTACTGTAAGGAGAGAGGAGCAGCAATTCAACTACTCCACCTCTGATAAATCGCTCTCCTCTCTTCTTCCTCCTGCTTGAATTAATGAACCCCACCCCTATTGCAAATAATGCCCAAACCAGCACTGCCCAGGAATATCTTTGGCTCAGACTCCTTTTTACCTTTGAACACAACAATACTGAATCATTATGTCTACATATGAAAAGTCTGGTCTCCAAGGAATGGACCACACACATCCATCTTGATAAATCTTCTTGAAGTTGGCCCCACTCAGCTGCCCAATGGTTAGATTGATTTGGGACCAATGAGCCCAATCAACAAATATTTATTTTTATTTTTATTTTTTTATGATTTTGTGACTTAAGAGACAGGATACAAAATGATGCTCAGGTGGATGAGTGGATTGATCCTTAGAGACATGATACGAAATGTGCATATACGTGAACAGGTTGGAGTAGCTCTTGTGAAAGATAAGATTAGAGAGAGTCGTCTTAGATGGTTTGGTCATATAAAACGGCGGCCTTCCGAGAACCCGTTTAGGCAAATAGAGCTATTAGATTTGGCTTATATTAAGAAAGATAGAGGTAAACTTAAAAGACTTGATTAGAAAATATTAGAAATGATATTTCTTTATTAGACTTAAACAAGAATTTGACTTTTAATGGAACACAATGAAGAAAAAGCCAAAAAGGATTCATGTAGTTGACCCCACGTAGTGGGACTAAGGCTTTGCTTGAGACCACTTTCTTACTACTTCTTAAAGGAGCTTTGTAGTATAAAAATTAATTTTTTTATTCTAAAAAGCTGCTTTAAGAAACAGTAAGAAAGCCGTCCCAAACAAAACCCAAGGCTTGATGTTGTTGTTATTGTGTTGTGATTTAACTATTAGCCTGGCTAATATGGCTAGGTTAGAGATCATTTGCAGCACATAAGTTGTCGTCAACCTTACTTCTATTACTTGGCGACTACTTTTGCATGTCTAAGATTTCGTTTGGGACGGCTTTATTACTGTTTTTTAAAGTAGCTATCTAGTACAAAATTTAAATTTTTTTTTACTAAAATATTGCTTAAAAATGCAGTAAGAAAGCTATCTCAAACCAAGCCTAAATGCCAATATAAAAACCATTCATTCCATGGTCCTCATAATATTTTGGAGATCAACAGTAGCTCTAATGCAACCTCTAAAGCAATCAAGCATAAATGCATATAAATGAATCATTTGGCTCTTCCTGATCAGATAGGAATTTAAATGAATCAAATTAACTGATGGGCTGCAAGACAAAAAAACCTACAGGAAGGACATTAATTTCATTTCCTTCTTTAGTTTTTTAATCCCTGCTCAAGAACAGCACAGCCATTATGAGATCAGAAATAAATAAGAAGCCAATCCGCCTTTTTTACATTGAGAAGAACACCAGGCTGTAGCGTTGTCAGTGTGCGCCCATCAATCTGTCAATATAGAGACCACCTCCATCAAGTTCAGCTTGGTATCATTAAATTTGATTATTTATAAAATTATTATTTATTTACATTACTTATATGACCCCACCAGGCTTAGGTGGCTTGGTGGGCGTGCTGTGGAAACCCTCAATCCAAATTCGAATCCCCTCTCATACGGCAACATCCCCTTAAGTGGAGGAAGAATAACTAGTGGTCAGACCTAGTGGGTTGGTGCTGGTAGACCTCATCTGAGAGGAATTATGGACATTGTCATGTTACAGTCACAAGCTGACGTGGTAGCCTGGCCGATCTACCGTTCAAAAAAAAAAAAACATTACTTATATGATCAAGCACAAAAAATAAAAAAAAAATTTTGTATTTAACTAAATCGTATCTAAATATTTATATAATATTTAATATCTGATTATATAAAAATTATATTTTATTTTAAATAAATTAATATTAGTGATATTTTTTATATAATATAGAAATTAAAGTGTTAATAAGAAAATATAAAGATGTACGTATTAGATATGTAAATATATAAGAATTCAGTGGTATATATCATGTAAATGAGCAAATCCCCTAATCTTAATTAAAAAAAAAAATCTTAACAATTTAATTATAACATGCAGTAATTTTTGGCAGAATGCTAATATGATAAAAACAAAATAAAATTTTAAGTGATATGTAAATGATTTTCCCAAACTTTAAATCCTTAACTCCAGTTAAGCAGATATAAAAAGCTTAAGCACCAATGGAAAGTTAAAACTAACTCAGCTTTGTCTTAACTTGCATTATATTTTAACTCAAGAGAGAGTTTATGACTTCGTTTGGGATGACTTTCTTTTTGCTTATTAAAGCAACTTTCTAGCATAAATTTTTTAATTTTTATACTAAAAAGTTGTTTTACGAAACAGTAAGAAAACCGTCCCAAACCATGCCTAAATACCAAACTATGGCTGCCACCTAACTAGGATCCAGCCTTCTCCCAAACAAAGGATGATGAAAGGGGATCTGCAGTTCCTTTTGGCTTATTCTTCTCTCAATTTGTGTTTCATTTAAAAGTCCAGTGAGAAAAAGAAAGCAGTTGAAGAACTTTATAGCATGAAAGCAACCCTTCAGCTCATAGAAGGTTGTAGTTGAAGGAGCTCTTTTGTTGCAGTTCCTCTCGCTCGTGATGCTGTCTTTGTTCCTATCTATAGCTAGATTGTGACCACTTGTCGTATTGTTTACAAAATGAACGATACAGTCTAATAGTACAGTGAAGTTCACTATTTGAGCTGTTGGGGGATAAGATGAGATTCTACTGGGTGCATAGGACAGCAATGGCCTCCAATAAGTCCAGGGATTGGTGGCTTTATTCTCCTTTTGCACTAATCATTTAAAACAGTTTATTAAAACAACTTTTTAGTACACAAATTTTAATTTTGTACCTAAAAATTGCTTTAAGAAGCAACAAAAAAACGTCACCTTAATAACAAATTTATCACTGTTTTTATAAATAGAAGCAGTTGCCACATATGGGCACTCAGAATCCTCTATCTTACAAACATAAATTGAGTAGTGAGTTAGTTTAGGCTTCGTTTGGGACTGGCTTTCTTCTTGCATCTTAAAACAATTTTCTAGTACAAAAATTAAAATTTTTGTACTAAAAATCCGCTTTAAGAAGCAGGTAGAAAGCTGTTCCAAAAGAAACCTCAGCCTCAATCACAGCATTTGTTTTGCCAATGACTAAATGCAACTAAGGAAACTCAACAAACAGAACCATGAGAAAAAAAAAAGGTTGCAGCAGCAGAGAACAAGTTGAAATCACTACAAAATCACTTTATTTATATTTTCTTTCTGTATTATTCATAAACTTTGTACAAAAATCAAACAAATCCAGGAATATATGGCTCGCCTTTGTTGTAAGAATTATCATAGAATTAAAGAGAGACCATCATGGTGTCAAAAGATACCTGAATCTGAAATCATATGGAAGCACTTGTACTGGCTGTGGAATTAGGCTCCTCCTACCCATCTCAACTAATTTAACTGCATCGCTCCTGATTTCATTTGGCAGCTGCAGGCAAATCCAGTCCATAAGTGATTCGATGTCCTTTGCAAAATCTGACATGTACCAATCCAAGAGCTTTGGTATTGCCAATCTATTTGATTTTGATAAACCAACCGCGGCTTGCAAGTAATCCCTCTTAGCTTCCTCTAGCTGCTTCTCTACTTCACAAGCAGTGTAGATTCTCACCTACACTTAAAAAACATACTTCATAGTGTCACTGATTGCATTGCGAGTCATAAGTTTTTTTGAAACAAGCGATAGGAGCAGGTGGGACTCGTAAGTCGGAGAGATTATTCTGTGCGGATATTGAACACAGCTTACCGTCCAGAGGTGAATCAGGTGCAGCCACATCATCTAGTACCGAGCAGTACCGAGCCGTGGTACCGAGTAGGAGGTGATGTGGCGCATTTTCATTGGACTCTAGACGACGTTCGGTGTCCGCATATAATAATTTCTCCGTGAGTGCCTAAGTGGATGCAGCTCAGGATATTGGATGTTCAAATTTTTTTAAAAAAATTTACTTCGCATTTCTTTTGCTTCAAATAAACAGGAAAATTTTAATGCAATACGCTATAAACACTGCCAATCAATCGAACAACTTCTTAAAATGATTAGTTCAACTCTTTAAGCTAGCTTTTTTCCTTAAAGTATAAGCAGCATTTTCAAAAAGCTGGTTACATAACACATCATTAAACCAATACAGTAAGAAAGGAGAAATATAAGGTGAAAAAATGATAAATAAGCATCATGTGACATCAATCATATCAGTGGCAGTCACTTTACGGAGAAATTATTTTGTGCGAAGACCGGACGTAGAACGCCGTCCGGAGATCAATCAGAATGTGCCACGTTAGGGGCACCGAGCCGCAGTACCAAACATTACCGAGCAGTAATGAGCCGCGTACCGAGCCCATGGATGACGTGACACATTATGGTTGGTCTCTGGATGGCATTCGGCATCCGAACATAATAATTGATCCACTTTATGGCTCGGGAATATATGAAGTTACAATAATATAGAAAAAGTAAAATTAAATTCAGACAACTTACCGCAGGGGAGGACCAACTTCCACATGAAAGTGCAAATGTTACTAATGGCTCAGACCAATCCAACCCGAACATGCTGCTCCTTATCACCTCACTGCATTTTAAACCCTTGGGTGAAATCTGTAAAGTGGAGCCACAAATGGTAATTATTTTCTCCGCAATAGAAAGATAAAGTCCTTCAGGAAACTTGGAGCAGGTCCACTCACATGTTTTGAGTTGCAAGGCAATCTAAGCATGAAGTGCTCAATAGTCATTGCACTGAACAAATGTCCACCTACATTCACCTTTGCCTGAGTATATTAAGAATAGGTAAGTAAAAAAGAAGGATGAATATATTAAGAATAGTAAGGTGGAGAAGAGAAACAAGCAGGTCAAAAACCTTTGGCATCAATGCAAAGACCATCTCTGCAGTGGTTGGTAGACCATTCTCTAGAAATGTCTGACAAACATAGAAGAATTTTATAAATACAATGATGAAATATAGTAATTTTTCAAATAAAAGTCTTTTTTTAATATAAAAGAAGCTCATTCCACATAAAGTAAATTTCAGAGAACACCACAAGTGGACAACCCAAAATACAAAGCAAATAACCCCCATAAAAAAGATGAAGACCTCTAAGGGAAAAGAACCAAAAAGGGGGCAGTGGCAAGACGGACTCAGAATAGGAGACATTCTGCACTCGACACACAGATGTCCGACCAGGACCATCCATAGGAGGCAACAATCATGTACACAAATAACCTCGAGAGCAACAACCAACATCTCCCATCCAAAAGAAGAGCCACCAAAATCTAGCCAAAATCAGCGATCCCACCACCAAGGTAGCCAGCAAGCCAAGCACATCTAGGAGGCGAGTAGGAGCCTGCCCCATCATTGTCCATTTACCCGAAACAATCCAAAAGCACCAATTACTAACCACAATAGCAAAACCAATGCAGCCAAAAGAGACAAGAAACCGTGAAGGGCACACCATGCAAAGCAAAAGGCCAGCAACACAACCGAAGAACGAAAGAGAACAGAATAAGGCAGAATAAACTTACATTCATCATGCATGAATTGTATATATTTATCCAGAATGCAAGCTTTTGCTGATGAGTAAGCTCTGAAATATCAACTGATGAAAGCTTTCTGAGTAGTAACCTAAATTTAAACAAAACATTTAACATATAAGCCATGAGAAAATTGCTTAGAAAAACTGAAGAGTTAGGAGATAGATTCTAGTGCACGAAACTCACTTTAGTTTACGAGTTAAAAATGAAAATTTTGATATCAGATTTACATCACTTGAGCTGGAATCCACTTCTCTCAGAAGTTTGTATGGTCCAATGTCCCTTTGTCCAAATAGTTTGCAAATATCATAAGGGTCCAGAAAGTATACATCCTGATAAGAAGAGTCACACGAACCTGATACTGATGGACACATCTCACTCTCTATTGCCACTGTGTCTTTTGGCAAGCTAATACTCGTGAAAATCTGCAGAAGGCATCTCAAGATTTCCTCTGATAATTTGTTGGCACCATTTGCTTCTTCACATGCCACTCTATCTCTGTTACCTCTCTGAAATAACAAAGCACTCATTAATTTGCAAAGTAGACAGTTTATAAAAATTAAACCGTTCAAGAAGACAAATCTTGCTTCTACTTCACCTCGGAATCCAATATTCTTGAAGCATTATTTACAGGGGAATGTTCTAAATTCTTGGTGGAATGCATATTTGATTGATTCTCTTTTCCAATATAGTCTTCAGGTAATGAAAAATTGAGTTTCTTTGGAACCTGCTTTTCATTCATGAACAGTTTAGAAGAAGGATTGGGATTTGAACAGGGAATCGAGGGAGAAGAGCTGCTGATTGCAGAAGCACTTGGATGGATTAACGGACAGTGAGATTTTGTCAGCTCTGAATTGTTTGTTTTCTGTGAAGGAAATCGATCAAATCTCAAATCGAATCCATTTTGAATGGTTGTTTTTGATGAAGAAATATAGAAGGCCTCCTGATAGAGACTTTGCCGAAAATTCATGACTTGCCCTTCAAGCCTAACCACCTCTTCCTCCAGCACTGCTACTTCAGCAACAAGTTCTAGAGTCTTGGGATAAAGTGAAAGAGTGAAAATTCAGAGCCATCTCTCCAAGAGAATGGGGAAAAGAAAAGAGCTAAAATGGGTGGAATATATTTACATATGAAGGGAGATAAGAAGGCAGGCGAGGAAGAGCGCCCAAGGGCCGAGTAAAAGCCCTTCTCAAAGCTCTGTGCACATTTTCTTCATGCTTGAGCTTCTTCCTCAGCTTATCAACCTGCAATTTAATCAGATTCATGAAGAAGATAAGAAACAAGGAGAACTATAAAATAGGAAGAGAAAGAACTAAATTCATTCATGAAAGTATTACATCTTGTTCCAAAGCAATCTTCTTTTCTATTCTCGACGTGCATCTCTTTGGGCCATTCCTTGAATTTGTTACCTTACTGCTATCCTCCACTACCATCTTCTTCTCCTCCATCTGTTTCAGTAAGACAAGTTCGCAGGAGAAATTTGAATTATTGGCCATGGATTGGCATGTAAATCACCTATATGTTTTACATTTTTTTTTCTTGTTTCACCTGATGTAATTACTATGAATTTCAAAATTAGATGAGCTCGATAATTTGATTTTTCACATGTAAATGAAAGTGAAAGTGAAATCACAATAAAATTAACTATGTTGAACATTACAAAATCAGCATTATCCCATGGCATTCAAAGCCTGGCAAACAATGGTTAATCTCAGTGAAGCTCTTGCCAGAAATATCTCTGGCAAACTAAGAAAATTAGGAATTCAGCAAAAATCGATTAAAAAATATTAAACCAAAAAGAAATAAAAATTCAAATTGGAATATTTCGAAAGAATTTTAAAAAATAAATGTTATAAATTCATAAAAAACAGGACAAGAAGTTCGACAAAACAAATGAGATTGCTTGCTAACCAAATAAATTTAAAAAATTCTTAAGGCATCCGCTTGCTTTCTCATCCGAGACGCGAGAATTCTCCAGAGAAGAGATGGCAAGCGAAATTGAAGAACCTATTGCGATGTGGAATGAAAATCCTCAACTTATTTCAAACAAGAACTCAGGAAGAAGATCATCTGATAGTGAACAAAAAAAACTTAAATGGACTAAACAAGAGCCCAACTAAAAAGTTTAACTAGAGGTGCTAACGCAGCCCTTCGCAATTCACAAATCCCAAAAAAAAGGAAAAAAAAAAGAAGGAAAACCAAGAAGAACGAAGAATGTCGAAGAACAGATCCATTACAATAATCACACAACAACAGCTCCAATACTATTCGAGGAGTAATCAATAGATTCAAAACCAAGCAAAAAGCAATACCAATGTCGGATTTCTGCCTAAGATTCTTTCTTTATTGTGCTTCGGAATTTCTCTAATGCCATTCTTCGCAATCCGTACTCTGTTATTCATTTTCTCACCTCCTCACTTTACTTGCCAATTTAGCAATTGAAAAGCAACCTCGCCGCTAACTCCCTGGAAGAAAGAGAGAGAGTTAACTATCCATTCCAAATCCCAATAGCAGATTAAATAAGAGCTATAAACCCCAAATGGAGACAAACAAAGAGAAATCATTAACAGTCGGCATGGAGACCTTGAGAGAAGAGCTATATCATTCCTTTCCAACAGTGGGAAGATTAAATGCTAGAGAAAAACAAACAGAGATCAAAGACACCAATGAAGCGAGAAGAAGGAAGAGTTCAAGAGCTCGTCTTCTTCTCTGTTTCTTCTTCTATTTATTTCCCGAAGGTTTGCGACCTGTGAGCTTTTATGGCTATTGGTCTGAAAACGGCGGAAGGGCCGTTCAGTAGATTGTATTAGTCTCACCGCGGAGTAGTGAACCTAAGTCCAGCTGGGCACGAATGCCACGTTGGGCTAATCGTTACAGAGGACGCCGTGGCCCCGATGTGCACGTGCCACGCGGGACATCATTAGCTAGCGTGGGCATCAGAACTTCGCATCTCGGGTGCGCTTTTTATATTTCCGGGCTTTTCTGGCTGGACTTTAAATAGCCTTTTTTTTTTTAACAATTTAAGTACAGTTTTTGCAAGAACTTTTTAAGAGTATTTTATAAGATTTTTAAGTATTAGCTTACTAAAAAAAAATCTTACGGAATGCTCAAACCGGTTTTCAATTGGTGATGTAATTGAACCGATCAATCGGCGGCTACGGTTTAAATTTATGAATTTTTGAAGAGCAAAATTTGATCAGCTAATACTATGAAAAAATTATTACATGTGGTGTCCTGATAAGTTTGAAGGCCAATCAGAATGTGTCACATCATTCAATACACTCGTCTCACAATGCATAATGCATTGGATGGCATGAAGTGTTTGGATTGACCTCTGTATGTGATGTAATTGAACCGATCGATCGGCGACTACAGATTAAATCTATAAATTCCTGAAGAGTAAAATTTGACCCGCTATACTATGAAAAAATTATTACATGTGGTGTCCTGATGAGTATGGAAGCCAATCAAAATGTGCCACATCATTCAAAGCATTCGTCACACAATGCACAATATATTGGATGACATGAAGCGTCCAGATTGACCTTTGGACATGATGTAATTGAACTGATCGATCGGCGGTTACAATTTAAATCTATAAATTCCTAAAGAGTAAAATTTGATCGGCTAATACTATGGAAAAATTATTACATGTGGTGTCATGATGAGTCTGGAGGCCAATCAAAATGCACCACATCATCCAATGCACTCATCACACAATACACAATGCATTTGATGACATAAAGCGTCCGAATTGATCTCTGGACGCGTTCAGACACCGTACAGAATAATCTCTTCTAACTATGAGTTAATGACTCTTGAGTTGATTCATTTGAGAAACATTAATATAAATGTATTTCTAAATTGCATAATTCACCCCTCTCCCAATTTCTTTAATTTCAATGCAAATTTTGCATTTTTTTTATTGATCTTTATTACAACTCCATGAATTCATACTACTCTTTTTCATTGGAATGAGTGCACTTATGAACAGGCTTAAATAGATTAATTTGAGTTTAAATATGATTAATTAATTAAAATTAAGCTTGAGTCAATGGAGCTTAAGTCAATGGTACAAAAATTGACTCAACTTATTTAATTTGATGTGAACCACTACATGTATAGATGCCCTAAATGCGATTATATATGTTACACGCCGAACTCTATAATAACAAGACAATCTTTCGATGCCTATTACAAATCATTAACCATTGTGCATCATGGTGCACATATGGATACTACCTACAAACATTTTTGTGGGTTCTTGATAATTTTTTTTTCAAATAAATGTTATATAGTCGGCAATCATTATTCATTTGAAGCTAATCTTGTTGTGTAGCATCTATTTAAGGTGGCTATACTAGAGAAATAACCCTTGTTCTCCTCCACCTAAAACCTCAAGGGGCCATATATAAAATTTCTCAATCTCATATTCTTTCTCTAAGTCTACTACATCACCAATGAATCTTTTCAAACTTCAAGAAAGACTAGTTTGCCTCTTTTCCTTTTAAGATTCATTCTTAAGTAAACTCTACTCATTATCATCTCATTCTCTAACAAGGAATGAAAACAATTGTAACCATTGCTTTAGCAAATAGAATGCTTCTCTCATCTCATAACAAATTGTAGTGTATTTATGCTATGAAAAGTTACTTATCACTCTCGAAATTGACTCCATCTAAATCTTTATGGTATGCATGAGATTCAACTATATGGGTTATCTTCAATACAATCCCTAAAGGCATACACCCATCCTTTGATCAACTCCCACTAACTTCCATTCATTCATCAAGCTGGTTAACTCAATCTATTTAACATTCTTAAAAAAAAAAAAAAAACACAATCTATTTAACACCCACTATCTGCTATTTTTATATTATAGGAATTGATAGTTAGTCAAATAGATTGAGTAGATTAAGGTGCATCATTTTATATACATAATTGATTGTATGTGTAAATTATTCAGATATAATTGTGTAAGTGAACAAATGTTATGGATCTGCCAGTCCAAGATGTACCAAATTAGCATAGTGCAACTCCAGTATCATCAAACACTATTAAGTAGCTAGCCAGTGTTCTGGCACAAGTAATGGGAGAAACATGGAGCAAGCCATCTAGAAGCAAGGAAGAAGAGGTGGATAGATACTTGCAGTCATTTCATAAGTTGAAGCCCCCACTATTCAAAGGAGTTGTAGGACCAAAACTATAGAAGATTGTTTGCTAAGGATAAAAAAGATATTTGACAATATGTAGTGTCTAGAGAATGAAAAATGTATTATTGACTATGTTTATGTTTGAATGAGAGGCTGGTAGATGATGGATTGGACAGCAGAGACTAGATGAAGTATATAATATAAATATTTAAAATATTTTTTTTAAAAAAAGGTGTAATATAAAAGATATTTGACAATATGTAGTGTCTAGAGAATGAAAAATGTATTATTGACTATGTTTATGTTTGAATGAGAGGCTGGTAGATGATGGATTGGACAGCAGAGACTAGATGAAGTATATAATATAAATATTTAAAATATTTTTTTTAAAAAAAGGTGTATTATCCTTTTTCTTAAATGACTTCTCTAACATATGATTGCTCAATTTACTACCCTCTACCTCCATGGATCATTGAGTCAAATGGCTATACATTATAGTGGTTTGATAAGCCAAAATATCTAGTATAATGATCTTACTACTACTTTAATTGTCTTCATGCTCTCTAAAAATTTCATTATGTACATAAATAAATGAAAATAATAATTATTTTTTTTCTTTTAAAAAGAAAGAGAATGTACATATATATATATA